TTCGCTGCATCTTCCTATGATAAAAACTCGACTTCGATTACTTTACCAAAAAATGGATTTTCTGAGGGGGGGGGGCCTTAATTTATTTGAAAAGATATGTGAAAGAAATTAAAGCAGAACATTACAGAACAATGAGAAAGTTTCTTTTACATTCTTTGATTAAATAAATAGTAGGATCAAAATTATTTTATTTGCTACGATCCTTAATTGTCCTTCATACACCGTCCTACCAAAATGATACATGTTTTCTGATGTATTATTATCATCATACACTTGGCTATATGGATTAGACTAACTAAGAAAGGCTTGACAATATTTTATGACACACCGAAACTTTGTATATGTTACTCTATTGAGTGAATATACTCCATATTTTTGACTAAAATTGAATTATTGTAAATGAAGAATCTAGATTGACCATACTTTATCCATCGATTACTGAAATGAAAGTAAAAATACAATGATATACAGATGTTGTTGAAGTAGCTATAAAAAAAACGTGATAAACATTTACATAAATGAGCACAATAGGTTTTCATGAAATTGTTCGAAAGCTTATTTTGACAAAAAAAAATTGAATTTATATATTTTTGTAAGCTAAAATATTTACAAGTAAGACACACATAATCGATTCATACATGAGATATTATGGCAATAAAAATAAATATTGTTTCATTAATTTTTTATTCTGTTGAAAAATGCGAAATAAAATAATTTCATCTGTTTCATGTATTATTATAATTGTGATATTGATAGAAGTTGTAATCATTGTTATGAAATTCAACAGAGAATCATTACGAAGATATTTGATATCTCTATTAAGAATTCTAAAAGAATGTTTTTTTTCTCTTATTTTATTCAGATTTTCCGAATACTTGAAATTTTACTATTTCTGATCTACTTTTCAAAATTTCATTGTTAACAAAGTTTAAAAAATACTGAAAATTTTTTTTTCCAGTTGCCAAACGAAACTTTATCATAATCATTTATTATAGTAGATTTCTGGATTTGCCAGTTATATTTGCTGTTGTAGACAGTGTTGTACTCATAACTAAAACTATGCTGATACAATGAATGTACAATGTATGAATGATAAAGAAATCACTTTTTTGTCTTTGTTATTGACATAAATTTTGTAAAAAAGAATTAAAGTAAACACCACAGTCATTCATGCTATAAACAGACAAACTGTTTCAACTAAAACTTTTGTTAAGGTCGAAGAAACAAAATTACCTAATTGTCTATAGAATTGTCAAAAAATAGTATATGACAAAAAGTGTAATTCGTCAACGCTAGCTTTTACTTAATAATTGATAATGACATATGAAGTATTGCACTAAGATCAAGAGGAGTTTTATTAAATTTACCTATGGATTTATATTAACAATGGGCTCATTCAACAAAACAACAAACTGGCTTAATTGTATTTCGATTCAGTGCAACGTGTAGAAAAAGTGAAAATTTTTGTTGCATTGCACATCATTTTCTTGTAATAAACAGTTATTCACACATCAGTTTAAAAAGTCGTCTTTAAATACTTAAGTTCGATGAAGTCAACGTCATATAATGTTGTTATTTTTTTTTGTTAATTATTTCAAAAATTTACTTTATTTATGTAAAATTGATGACAGATAATGTACAGAAGAAGAAATAAGATTTTCTTGATGCAAAAAACTAAATATGAACAACTCATATCTATTTCAACACTTGAAATTTAAATTCGTCGTTCAGTAATTTAATTATTGTAAACAGAACTCTAAACAATAGCTGTTTTATTCAATTAATCAACAGAGCTGTAAAAACAAACAATATAGGCATATATTTGAAAATCGCAGATGTGCACGTATATATCCAAAAACAATGTAAACTCTTGAATACAATGACCAATCACTAGAGATATTATAGTTCATCATCACAATCGTATTCATAGGAGTAAAATATGAGTCCCAATTGACTAATAATAACGTAAGAAGTATCAGTATATTCATCATAGTTGATTCCTGTCTTTTTATTAAAATATTTAATTATGATTTTCGACACTGAAATTTGCAGTATATACGAAATATGAGATTGAGCAAAGCATTAATTTTTATATTCGAATTCGTTCATTAAATTATTGAAATTATATTTACAATATCAGTATGACTCAAAATAGAAAAGTAATTGTTTAGTTTAATTTCGTACATAACCAATCAGAATCAAAGACATCATTATAATCGTTAACATTAAAAAATCACTGTTGACATATGTAATGCTCCCGCCAGAATTAAGAAAAAGGGTGAGTGTAAGCTGAATAACTCGACAACGGATATAAGTAGCGATCTACGATTTCCAGGAATCGAAAGAAAAAACGTCCGAACGTCTTTTTGTCTGATACTATCTAAGACAAAATTATTTGCAAACACATCACCTTTGAAGAACAATTAAAAAGACACATGAAAACGGTGTCCCGTTTCGATGTAACTTTAATTTTGATACATGCTTCAGATAGAAGAATTGCAGATTTTTACTTCAAAGAAAGATTTAAATGATTATGTTTTCATCTCTCGAAGTTGAATCAGCAAAATAGGTTATTTATTCGATCGAATTATATTGAATTTTAGAAAATGTTCTTTGACACAGAACATGGTTTTATGCATTTTCTTTTAAATGTTTTGCAAAAATGATGAGTTTTAGAATAATTATGTCTTACATGGTATGAAACCAAAGAATATTTGGAGTTATCCTCTTTCTATTGCTGAAAACCACAGATCACAAGTACTTGCCATAGTCGAGTTACTTAGTTTACATTTCCTTCTCTGTAACTGTGGCGTGGAGACATTAGTTAGAGAATGAATAAATTGAAAATGACAACAATAGTTTAGTTTTTGATCATGATCACTTTATTGATATAATTATCATCTAGTTTGAAAAAATTTTAAGATGTTAAGTAAACTTTAACAAGATGATATGATTGGTTATACAGTGAAAAACAAATTGTAGTAAACGAAATTAAATATATATATATTTATTTATTTATTCTAAAAGAATTATTAATAATAAATCATACTAAAAAACACAAAACGAAAAGTTAACCCAATCAATAATTACACAAGATCATCAGCAATTGCAGCATAATTTGTTTTGCCTATGATAATGTCGCAGAGCAACCATTTGTATTAATTAAATGAATTACCTGATGTTTTTTCATATTCTTCTTTTAAACATCGATAAATAAATAGATATTGATGCTAATATTACAAAAAAAAATAAATCAGTTATTCTCTTTTTTTTTAAAGATTTCATTTGAAGTAAATTTTACCTCATTTTGAACCATTTTATCTCTGCATTGTCTCATATTAAATATAGTTCCATAAATATCTAAATAACCATGTAATGATGATTTATCAAATTGTTGCAATAAACGATCAAGTCCAATAAATGTTCCACTACGACCAACACCAGCACTACAATGTACTAATAATGGTCCATGATGTTCTGGATTACATTCCGAACGAATTAAACGAATAAAATTAATAAGTATATCACTATTTGTTGGTATTGTATGATCATCCCACATTTTAAACGCATAATGTTTTATTGAACGGATTTCATCATTCTAAACAATTTAATTATCATAGGTTTATTTTTACTTTTCACCTACGATACATGAGTATCCGCAAAAATGTCAAGACCTGTTGTGTTTACATGAAAAATGCTAGAAACAGAATTTTTTCACTTACAAATAGAGCAAAATATGTGCTTTGAAATAAATATTCAAAATAAAATTTACAAAGTAATTTAATCCCCCCTCCCCCTAAAAAAAGTCAATTTTTCTGAAAAATACGATAATTACATGCGAAGATAGTTTGAAGTGTGATCTTTCATAAATGACATTGCTTCTTATTTGACATCCCATTTTTTTTCAAAAATTGTCGTTATTTTCTGCTTGAAAAGTATACTTTATTCAGATAAAGTGGAAAATCTTTTTTTCGCTTTTTTTCTGTTCATATATTTTTAAACTCTACATTCCACTAATTTCGCAGGAGTTTCATTGTAGTCAATGACATTTTTTTTTTGTTTGAAAGACCATGTCAAGATATAAGGCATGATACACTTCATTTTTTGAACTTACCATTGTTTGTATTGTATAAAAAAATAATATTTTTATAATGAGAGCTTCATTGTTTGAGAATCTTTCAATAAATTTAAACTTTTTTTCTTTTAACAAAAAAACGAGATTCTGACATACTCTGTATCCTGATAAGCTCTTTCAAACAAAAGAAATTAAGTTTATTCAATGAAGGTCCAGAGAGAATTTTCAGTTGATAAACGAGCTGTTTTTGACCATTGTTTATTGAATTAATTTCATGCAGTTTGAAGGTACTTAGTTCAAGATCAATTTTTTGAGGAGAGCTCAAACTACATGTTAAATTTTATTCTAAATATACATTTTAAAGTAAATAATTTACTCTATCTGTGAATGAAAAATTTAGGCTTCCAGAATTTTCCGTTTGAACACAGCAGATCTTGACATTTGTACGGATAGTCTTTATGCATCGTAAGTTAGATATACATAAATTATACTTTTTACCTTTTTTA